ATTCATTAGTAAATATCTGTGGTTTAATCAAAATCAAAATGATCAACTATTTGGAAATAACGTGTGAATATTCCATTTCCCAATAACCCAACTCATCTTTTCCCTCCACGTCACCATTTTCCCCACATCCATATAGAGTTTCTAAAGAAGTCCATAAGTAAACTTACGGTTTACTCAAAATCTTAATATCTGCGTAGTGAATTAATAATTCATCAGTTTACACACAGAACCCTTACAATCTTGTCTTGCAAGCCTCACCTCCCCCTTCCCGATTCCCTGCATCCGAACCTATCTGCTCCACCCCCCTCACTGTTTCCCCACTCTCTCGCTGTTTCACACCCCCCTTAACTATTCCCCTACCATCTGACCTCATTTCTCTTCATTTCTCTCTCCAACTCGCATCTTTTTCCTCCCAAGCAACCCAGCTACTCACTGAGCATTATTTACACCCGTTCAAGAATTAACAGGACCAGCACCTGCCCCTTCAAATTACGTATTCACAGCGAGCGCCGGGATGACAGAAATTCCCAGGAGTCCAAGCCTGTCTCAAATTTTCCCTCAGATTTCTATCTACCTGGGGGCTGGATGTAAGGCTATACCTTTAACTCTGACTCCGATCTGTTTATGCTGCTTTTGTCAGCTCTCCGCTAACTTGCTATTAACTACATCAAGAGTGTTGCAATTTTGGAGAGATACCACATGTACCTTTAATGTCACAGTTTCGCAAATAGTTGCTTATAGTTAGAAGAGAAATATTAATCCAGTAAAAATATCTTTAAAGGACATTCAGTCATCTGTTAGTCATGACAGAAATTCATGCAATACTTTTCTTCCAGATATGATCGGGAATAATTTGAATAGTTTTGACTGCATTTTTCCTGTACATGCAGATTCAATTATTTTTTTTTGTATGATGTATACTACCAATAAAAAGGGTATGTATGTGCATATTTACAAGTATCTTCACTTTTTCAGAAAAAAAATACATTATTTTTACAGACTCATTTAAACTGATATGATCACAACTCAATAGTAGATAACATAACTATATACATGTTACAATTTCGTACAACTGTACATACATACATCTACCTTCTTAAGACATTACATGTGTTGGACATTAAGATGTATTCAGTAGAGTAAGATAACCATTTCCATAGACAATTTTGGATGAAAAATATTTGAATATTTGAAGACTGAGTAAATTGTTTTTCCAGTTATATTAATTGTTTTTTTTCTGCTTTACATTCAGTGTTTCAAGTTAAACCACTGCAATGGCGTTGAAAGTATTAAAATAAAAAAAAATAAAAAAAGACACAACAAATCTGAGGAAATAAAATGAGAAAATAAGAATCCTGAATTTTTCTATATTTTTTAATTCTTCCAAGGAAAATATTACAGAAGTAAATGGAAGTCTTTGTAGATAAAATAAGATTGGAATTCATTGACTGAATCAGCAATCAAACATGTTGATGAAGGAAAGACAAAATTGAGATGCATCTTCAATGCATGAGCATCGCATTACACATTCATTGCTCATCAAGATATGTAGATACACGCACTCGGTACGCAGGGTCACGGCATTGGCAATTCACACTCATAATGACTCAGCGGGTGATATGCCCGTGTCATCACGCAGCGCTCTTACCCTCTCCATGGGAGATGTACGTGTATACTTACCGGTACCAGACTGACTTTATCGCAGCGAAGGATTTCTTGGAATTTGTTGTTTTAATAATTAGCATGAGTGACATTCACTGTGGGGGGAAATGTTGTAATTACATGACTTAATTAGATTGTCATCTGAAAGCATGTTACATACTACACACATGTTTTGTGAAATATTACAATGGCTAATATGTAATGACATGTTAATGTATGAGTACAGAATATATACGAATTAGGATGCATTTATTGTGTGCTCGTAAACTGTAATGTAAATTCGGTCATTAGAAATTTTTAGTCATAAAATTATGTTTATTGTGTCACAGTGTAAAGTGTTATGCACTAACAGGTTTTCTAACATTGGTTGGTTTCTGAAACAGTATTTGCACAAATCGAGGGATTATAGGCCTAAGGATTTAAGTTTTCTTTTCAGTGGCCTAAGGAAAGATGTTTGAAGTGCAGCTAGTAATTGTAATTTAAGAGGAGCTCAATTCAGGTATTTAGAAAACAGAAAAGGCAACCGGTTACTAACAAATTAAAGCAAGAAATGAAGGAAAGGTAGAATATATTTTAAAAATTTGAAAAGCTCCTGGTAAATTATTCGGAACATCCTTGATATTATTATTTCTTTAAAATAAATGATAAAAATGTAAAATGGCTAGGGTATGAGCATTCAAGATGCATGGAATTATGCATGGCTGATTATGCAAGAAGCAACGCTGTTCATTTACCGTGCCTGGCGCTACCTAGCGATAGGAATTTGTCATCAGTCTAGAGTCAGGGAATAAAGTGAGTTACATCAGCGCAGCGGCCACCATTGATCATTAGCAGTTTGATGGATTGAAGCACGCTTTTTCCCATTCAGAAGCCTACGCTGTGTGTGGCAGGCAACTGGGTATGTTCCCCACTACGGCATTTTGTGTGTTTAAAGGTCTCTTTCGATTGTGCCAATAATGCATGATTTGTGCGCAGGTTGCATGCTCAAGGGCACATAGGGGAGTTGAATGTGTTCCCTAAAGGCAGCGTGAGTGATAATAAATTTTGCAGTTTTAGTGGAAATGAAAATGTGTCCATGTTGATCACAAATGCAGGCTAGGGCTGTGCTGAATATATATATACTGAATATCCGGATATCTGATCATCAACTGAATATCTGAACAGCATTTTTTGATACAAATATTTGAAAATTGCGAGCAGTAAAGTGTTCCCTGTAGACATTTGTTGCTCATCTGTTTCCCACCACTGGTATTCTAGAACTTGAGTTTAACACTTTGCCTGAAGTTCAAGGCAATCACGAGTCGGCCATATTGAATTGAAAGTGAGGTAAAATCTTTATTTTTGAACTTGCGAAGAGAAATAAAAGCAAGTTAATTTCTAAGTAATTCCAGTCTGCTTCTATGAATAATTTAAAATTTGTAATTAAACATTCTCTAATGTTGAAAGCCAGATTTTAAAAAATGACAGTAAAATAAGGCTGCATTGTGCCTGCATAAATAGTCTGGCGCCATCCCATTCAGGAAACTCGACAAAAATGGCCAACTCGTGAATAAGGCCCATTAAACAATTCAATGTCTGTTCATTAACCCATAATCTTTGAAACTGCACCAGGGCTGCATATCTTTATGGAATCATCGGGAATAAATACTGTGCATGGAGGTAGAATTCTACCTCCATGTACTATGTAATAAAATGTTATGCAAGTGCTAATGCCTTAAAGACGGAAAGCAATGTGTGTACACTTTGTTTCTACATTAATTCCATAAAATCAAGGCCACACATGACGTAGATAAAGGGATGAAGATGTTTATACAATGTGGTGACAATCAAATTTATTCCACGTGATTAACGCCATCTTACGACTTGTTAAATCATGTGCACTATACATGAAGGTCCCCCTGGAAACGACCCTCGCACTAACAAAGGTTTACATCAACAAAAATTCATCTTGTCACCCTCCAAAGAACAAGTTGAGGTTGATCTTTGGGTTTGATTGCTTCCAATCCTCTGATCCTCCGACTCCCTTCGTTAATGAACCACAGAGTGTTTGTTTTGCAGCAGGCAATGTACACCACTCCAGATGCTATACCCATTGAAGTGGCTAGAAAATGAAATCATAAACAAAAAGGCTGCCGAAATATTGATAAATAAGAGCGGCGCTGGACCAGCAGATCCCATTGTTGCGGTTTATAAATTATGGAAAAATCTTGGCCGCCGTCTGGTGCCAGTTAGTTTATGCAAGAGCGGGCTTCGGCTCGACATTCATTAGACTCGCTGCGAGCTTATTAATTAAACTTTCCTTTTAATGAAAGTTTGCTAAATTATTTTAGACATTGATATTACTTGTGGCTGGATTGGGGCGGGTTCGGTGGCTTGTTTTTTAAGAACTGGATGAATATGAGTTGATATATGAGATGACATTTGTTACGCTTGCGTTCATTCGTACTTTCATTTTGAAAGGTGTCATGCACTGTTGGTAATTAGGAAATGCTTACATTGTTCTAAAGAAAGAAGTGGTACTGTATTGTATGGTTCTCTCCTCTGACTTAAATGATGCCATTGTGGGTAAAGCATGAAGAATATGCAGAGAAATTGGAGTGATTTTTTTAACACAATTAGAATACTGATATTACTGGTCACAACAAACCTGCTTGTTGTAGAATTCAAGCAGCAATATTTTGTTGAAAGCAACAGCTTACATTCTCAGTGGTCTCAAAATGTGCTCCCAGTTTTAAAAATTTAAATTTAGCATTGAGCTTTTTCAAAATGTATGGACCACACTGCACTGTTTTAAAGAAAATAGTATTATGATTATTTCAGACCGAACATTTTTGGGGTTGTCGTACTGGATGGATATGATAGAAATATGATTATTTGATAATCCTTTAAGAAAACAAGGTATTAATAATCATTTCAGAAAACAAACCAGCTTTACTCCACTGTGGTGACGTGACCTTGAAGGCTTCCTTATAATCCTGCACAAAAGCCTTGACGTAAAAGATGCGCCATTTTTTTTACGACCACTTGCCCCAATTACCAGCGCCGCTCATCAAAGCATTTTGCAAAACTGTAATCATTCTTGAACCATTAGTGATTGATCAGATCCCTGAGTCATCAGAAATCCCCACAGACACTCCCGTGTTTTAGCTCAGACAAAATAGCGAGAAAATAACAGTAAGAGAAATAGTTCCTTCGTTGAGGACCGAGGTTCAAGGTTCAACTGTCCTCACCTGCTGCTGCTTCAGTATGCAAATAAGCTGCTGAAACCTATTCCTTATCATCGTTTTCTCCTCCTTTTCACGTGGTATTTGTTTTTCTTGTTCTCTCTCCCTGCGCAGATTGAAAACATCGATAAGTGTCTACACTGTCTGTCAGCTAGGGGCGTGAACACGCAGGGCCTTCTTGCCAAAGGTAGGTGAATGCTGTCTCTGAAAAACAGGGCTCCGAAGCAGATGAGGTGAATAAATCTCTGGGATTGTAAAAGTACGAGAAAAAGGGATCGAGTGAATTCCAAATTGAAAGAGACTTGAGTAGAACCCAGGCTTTTACCAGAAGTATTATCTAGGCAAGTTTCTGGACACCTCAGCTATTTTTAATCCCCCATTTTATTATTCCACTGTATCAACAAAACCTCAGCAACTTGGAAGCCATGTTTTCAGTTCAAAGCATATTTTAGACACCAACATTTTTAATGCTGACTCAAATTCTGAGTCACTCTATACCAGAGAAACTAACCGAATCATGCAGAGCCTGCCCATCTGCTTTGATCATTTGGAGCAGTGGAACCGTAGCGTAACCGTAATCCAACCTAGCTAGTATTAGACGGCTCGGAAAGACAAGCTTCGTTGCAACTGATACATTTGAAGCCGACATGCTGGCCGCACAAGCACTGTAATTGGAATCTTCATCACTCTCAAATGAAGAACAACAAAACAAAAATAGATCTGGAATAACCATCAGTTTTCATGCATGGACTAATATTCGTGTGCTCGCTCCACACTGTAATTTATGAAGCTCTGGACCAATTCAAAACTACATGTACATGTGTTTTATAAATGTATGGAAAGATTATTCATCCATCTATGCCATGCTGCATGAGAAGCTCTCAGAAAATTCAAAATTACTTGTGACGTTATGAACACATGGGAGGATTTGTTTTCGTCATCTTTATCTTGCTGGATTAAGCATGATTGACTTGGCAGTCTTGCCAAGAAACTGAAGTATTGTTTAAAAAAACATTTTTTAGGATAAAGATCACTCAAAAGCTCTGTTCTGGCAATCTGCTTATTAACATAAATTTGTCAGTCCTGCATGTTTCAGTTCAATACCAGCAAAAGTGGGAAGTGCTGCTGGAGTTGTTTTCTTTTCACTCAAGCTTGATGTCTGTTTATTTTACCAACTCGTTTGCATAATCTCAGCTCCTATCACGCCTTTCATATTCATTTCAAACCGTGAAAAAGGTTGCCATAAACTAGACATAATCACATCAAGTTAAAACACAACGGAACAAGTTTCAACTGCGAAATTAAGAAGAACTAAAGTCTATCACGAGCCAATGTGGTCCATTAGGCCTGCATTTATCTCGGTGTCAGTAGCATGAAACGACTGAGAATATTTCTATTCTCCCTGGATGGGATGCAAGTCCATCTCGCAGGTTACTCCCCAGCTAATTCTGGCACCCATTTACACTCCTGGGTGGAGAGAGACTTGCCTTAGGCAAGTTGAGGTGAAGTGGCTTGCCCAAGGACACAACATATGACCAGCAGCTGGATTTGAACCCCTGACCCTCTGATCGTGAGTCATGAACCCTAACCACTTGGCCACACTTCCCACCGCGAAATTAACGTGCACTGTTTTGATTGTCATCAAGCCAAATGCAATCTCCAGTTTTAAGGCAGAAGATTTTTGAGTTGCGTCCCACCTCAATTAACAAACTTGTAAATGTTATTCTAAGGTACTTGAAAGAACACATCATTCATGCCATGACCATCTCTTCATTGCTGCCTGTGGAAGTACATTTGGTAATCACTGTAAAGTACCCTGCTCAAGAACACACAAGCTGGGACCCATTCAGGGATTGTATCTGCATATAGATCATGGGTTTTATTCCAAGATGCAATCCCTCATCCAAGGACTCGTCCGCAGAGCCATCTGAAAGCGATTAATTTGCTTCTGATCTGACCGTGCGCATCATTCAGCAGATGTACATGTAACTTTGAACCAGTTACTAACCGTCAACTTGGCAATGTGCCATCAAATGTTGGTTGAAAATTGTATGTATCGGTTCCAGATTGCGAAGGAAATAATTGCCTTTTAAGGAAGAATTACGTACAGAATCATATGGTTTAAGGAGAAATTGGGTTTGTTTTCAACAGGTAAAGGGTGAAATGAAGATCAATAACCCATAACAATTTGTATTACATTGTATTACATTGTATCAACTCATTTAAAATCATTCAGTCTTCCAGTACTTTGGCAGATGTTGTTTTTTTTTCGGGGGGGGGGGGGATGGAGAGATGTTTTAAGATCAAACAATTTCTTTTAATGTGCACAATTTAATATTTTAACAAGAAAAGGAAATGGGTAGTTATGTTTACCCAGCATGGTGCAGCTGTGCTCTGTGTGAATTTGAATACCTCTGTATAGTCCTTAACTTAAAGGCAATGGAATACATGTACCTTGTGTAGTCCTTAACTTAAAGCTAAAAAATAAATAAACTGAAAGTGTTGTGTTCATAAAACTATAGTAAGATCGTGCAAAGACTTTTTGCTTAAAAATTCAAGCTTAAGGATGATATTGACAGAATGGTGCAATTCCAACCAATATTTACAGAGTGTAAGTTCAGTTTATTATTGCATTTTTCTGGAAGTGGGGATGGAAAAGATAATTGGGTGTTTATTTCTTTTTCATAACAGAAATTCAGAGTTTAATAAATAAACAAATTGAACAATTTCCCCTTTAACAGCACTTCCTCCGAATGGTTAGGGGGTTAATTTGAGGGTTTGATGAGTACATCATATGGAGCCAGGAAAGCCTGTCCTGTGGGATGGGGTGGGGGTCTCTGCATGGGCTGGGTGGCTGATACTGATAAGCTAAAGTTGGAGGTCAGTTGTAGCAAACAGCTGATGAGCAAAACATGCCCTGGTCAACTTTTTTTTAAACCCGGGCTTTGTCTCAGCTTCGGCTTCTTCTCTGGCTTCAGAATCATTAAGAAGCCTTATAATGTCCCAACGTTTGCCTCAGTTAAGATTTGATGTTCCTGTAGCAGAACATGAACAAAGAGCTGAAACAAAAGCTTGAATGAAGTCGAGATTTTGGAAAAGTTGTATGACTCAAGCAAACTACAACATAGTTTTATCCAAGATTTCTGTTTGTTACTTTAGGTACCAGAAACCTGTGTTCTTTCATTGGAAGTATCTTCTTTACTTGAAGTTTGAAGTTTGCTTGAAGATTTCAAGACACAAGTGGTCCCTCTTTCTTCCCATCAACCATGGCATTGTCCTTTGTGTGAGACCAGACATGTGTCAATTCATTTATCTCTATTAATAGTCATTACACGCTGCCTGTGGATACTAATTGGGTTGCGGTGAACACATTTTCACAAGTGGTTACCACAGAGCCACAGTGCATCGGTCTGGAAATAGTGATTTTCTACAAGGAATATTTTAGTCGGGAAAATGCAGGTCCTATGAGTATGAGGAACAATTTTAGGCCGGACACAATTCTGAGTTTGGAGATAGCTTGAACCAAAGTTGATGGTTCTACTTTGTGTTGCAAAAAAACATGGAGGATTAAGAAGGAAATTAAGCAATGCCATTGTTAAATGTCGAGATCCAAGTACCCCCAACCAGGGCGAACAGGTATTTGACAATTGATGGGGCTACCCTAGTAAAAGAAAATAAGCTCTGCCAAGGTTGCCCACAGACTTATGCAAGTGGCAGTGCTGTATGGTCTGAACAGGATGTGAGCAAATCTGTCAATTATTTGAGAGTTATTTACCATTCATGAGATAAGCAGACCTTTGAGTTCATGATTTGCTCCGATTGTTTTTGTCGTTCAGATATCCGCGAGGGCAACCTGAAAGCAGTACTCGGTCTCTTCTTCGCCCTGTCACGATTCAAGCAACAACTCCAACAGCAGCAGCAGCAGCAGAAGCAAGCCAGCCAACAGGCCAGACAGCAACAAGCAACTCACAGCAAGCTGACTACGTCAGCAGGAACAACTCAACAATACAAAGTGCAATATTCATCATCGTCAGCAGCGGCGACTTCGCAGCAGCGACATCAGCAGCAGTCGAAGCAACTCGCTGCACCTACAACTCAGGCAGGACAGAAACGGCAGACGGCGTCGTCACAGAAACAGCCGGGCAATTTGCAATCGCAGGTATTTGTTTCAAATTTGAAAAAAAGAACCAAAAAAAAGGGGGGGGGATATGTGGTCAATCCATCAATCAGCTTATTGATTAGGCATTCATCAATTGATCTTTTGCATAATTTGCATAATCAATCATCCAACTGATTATGAAAACCGTTTGTTGAGTTGGAAACCAAGTAGTAAATTAAGCAAGTAAGCATTTGTTCAATAATCGATTATCTTGTCATATCTTGTCATATACTGAAATAGAGAACATTGGAAAGAACTTCTGTTGCTTAATTTTTAGGCTCAAATTAAAACCTCCAAATATTACTGCTGTAAATTTATGCCGTATCCACCTTTTTCATTCATTTGATGCCAACAAACAGTGTTACATTTGTAGTGCACGAGTTGTTTCAGAAAATTGTAAATTGCTGTGCAGAACACAAGTTCAGGGGTTTAAGTTTGAAAAACAAATTTTCCAACAAATCTAGTCTGAAGTGTTTCTCCCATTCTCCACCAGTCATCAGTGCAACGTCAACCCACCGCCAAACCCCAGGCCACACCCAGGTCAGCATCCCAAGTCAGACCCCCCTCAGCAAGCAGCAAGTCTTACGGCACCACGCCTTCCCCATACCAGACGGGGTCCAACAAGCCCCAGGGGCGGCCGGGCGGGGCTAGCACTCAGCTTGGAGCACAGCAGCGTAAGCAGGGCTCCTCCACAACGTCACTCGCTTCATCAAGTAAGGATAAGTATATAGTCAAAACCTAAACAAAGATCGCATGATGCTGCCTCTCAAGTTCTTTTACTTGCTATTTTTTTTAGTCCACATTGGGAATTATGGAGTTGATACAAACGAGACAATTTAATGGCACAGCTTAACAGACAACACAAAAGTTGTGCTTACTACAGCAGAACATTATGCTAACCTGAAGCAATATTTCATGGCATGGATGTGCTAATGGTTGGGCACTAATGCAGATTTCTATTACGCTCTAATTTAAGCAAGTTTTGTTCCTCCCAGGTAAACGTCTTTTGTGTGCTTACTGCTTACAGTCTCCATGAAATAGACGGAGGCTCTGTTAGTAGAAAATCTTGTGCTGAGCAGCGCTATTAAATTGGGCCCTGGGTTTCAAGTATCTGTAAAAGGCAATGCAGTCAGTTGTAAAGGCCGGTTCATAAATAGCAAATTTTATGTCACGAAATGTTCACTGCAAAATTCACTGGAGTTGAAAGTGTTAAACTTTTGCGAATTCGCAACGCGAAAACTTGACGTGACTTGACAAATTTGTGTTCTGGCTTCGCTTTCGCACCTAGTATGAACCGGCCTTAAGAGAATTATGTTATTTTCAGTCTCAATTTTAAATTTTCCTAATGGGGTTAAAAATCTTTGCCAACATTAACACATCCAAATCCTGTTTTATTTTGAATTATTAACGAGTGTGGCTAACCAGTTTGATGCTTTTCCACACACTTTTTGGTTTTTTGTTTTGCAGGGCTTGAGCGAATGAGAGGTAATAAAAAAAAAAATTAACTTCAAACATGCAAGATTTATCATTTAGTTCTGCACTTTACATTGACTAGTTCATAAGCCTGCTCCACTTGATCACAGCATGAAAACAAACAACTACCAAAAACATAATTCTCAATCTAGTCAATAACAACTGTGCATGGCCTTTATGTCAGCCAGACAACATTAAAAAATGAACATCAAAACATCTTGGTGGACATGGTAGGGAACAAAGCAACAGCCATTGTATTCCTTTTAAAATCATGTAGATGAAACATCAGAGATTCACTCACTAACTTCCCTCTAAAAATCATTAACTGTCCTGAGCTCTGTTTGATGGAGGTGCTATGCTGAACACAGTGCTGAGTATGGCTCAGCTGAGTAATGGACTCCGTGCACAACCGGTAGAGGGCGCTTTGTGACAACTTTCGAGATCTCCATTAGGAGGGACAGGCTGCATGTGCGTACTGGTTCACGCGCGTATGGCGAGAAGTACGCACGACTTATTCCATTCTGAATGTGCACAAAGCCATAGGGGCGTCATCGGTAATGCGTTTGGAAGTCCCTCCCTCCCTCCCTCCACTCTCCATTTGTAACCCTAGAGGGGGTACTTCCAAAAGAGTCCATTGCAGTATGCATTTTGTGAGATTTTGGCTAGTAAACCATGCTTAGTGAATACGTTCCGTGATCCAAAAGGGTCCATGTGTGAATTTGGGGAATGTGTAAATTCTGTCCATTTTCTGCTAAAAGGAAATTCACCGGTTTTGGGATCTAGCTTGGGCAACGGTGTAAATAAAAGAACACTTCTTTGAGGGTTCTTCATCACTCTAGTTCCAGTTCTTCTTCACAAGTTCCAGTTCTTCTTCACAAGTTCCAAATCTTCACCATACATGTATTATTCATTTCAAGTAGATCCCATACTGTCTCCAGATACAATTCATAATAATAAACATCAGAAGCATGGCTCCTTCATATCCATGAATTAGTCCACTTATTAATTTTGTTGTCCTCTTTCCTTGAAGATGATGATAATGCCGTTTTCATCAGAATAATAAGGGAAAGACCCCTGATTCCTCAAATCTACCTCTGAATTCATGGATGCACGCCCCATCATAACTGCATGCATATATTAATATGCATGATGATTTGTTAAAAAAAGAAGAAGAAGAGTTTTTATAAATTATTTTTGTTGTTGTTTTAACAATTTTTTCTCTGTTGTTTTCTCCCCCATGTTACTTGGTTGTCATCTGCAGCTACCTCTCAAAAAAGTAAGTTGTAGGCTGTGACAATTTTATCAATTTTAAACTGGTTGTGTCCAGATAACCTTATCAGTCTAATGTAACTGGAAATGGTATATCTTTTTGGCTTTTGTACTGCAGATGGAAGAAAATGTAATGCGAATTTTCTCGCAAATGCTTCCAAACGTCAGTTGCGTTTTTACAATTAGCGTGAAGTATGAACAGCACATATTTTACCAGATATTTGAAGCTTCATGATTTTTCATGAACTTTTGGAAGTAGCAAAGAAGATGGACCTTCTTTATAGCAACTATCTCAGATCTTTTCGTTTGTTTAAGCATCATGTATGAAAAAAGAACAATAGCTAGATACTCTTGCCTATTACGTAAATTAAAATCAAAGGCATTGCCTCCAAGATTGCTTCTGTCATACAGTCTATTGGAAAACACTTTGGTTATTTGTTACTAGTAGCTATATTTCCCACTCGTTTTTGAATCCCTTAGGCAACTCATCCTCTCATCGCAACTCATCCTCCTCCGACATGAGTTCCCGCATCCCGACGTTCAGCAAGGTGTCACGTCCCGCTGCAGGGTCAGGGGTCCCCCAGAGGGGTCAACTGGAAAAGGGACGAGTGCCTTCAGCATCCCCAGCCCAAAATCAACAAGGTACACAAGTTAAAGTGTTGTCGGTTTCCTCTTGCTGAATATTCATGAGGCAATCTGTTGGTAGGAAAAATAGTTGGTCACTGGCTTAAATTGCTATTTCACTTCCATTTTGCAGGTGCAATACAAACTAGTACTACAACTACCTCAACTCAGGGTTCGTCTCTACCAAACGGTGCCTCACCCGCAAGCAATCTCCAACCCCCGTCACGGACAGCCAGCCAGATCCGTGCACCCTCATCAAGCTCGACCAAAACCAGCGGCAGCTCACAGTCAAAACAGCAGAAACAGCAATCCAAGCAACAGCAGCAACGGCAACCGCCAGCACAACACCACCAGCAACAACAACCACAACATGAACAACAACAACAGCAGTCGCAACAGACTCCCAAAAGCCCCAACAAGAGCTCCATGCTCACCAAACTGAAATTCTTTGGAAAGGAACACGCTGGTAAAGAACCTCACAGTGCTCCAAAGAGCAAAGGTGCTGCCGGTAAATCAGCCATCAATGGCAACAATAGCAGCAGCTCGGAGTCTGCAGCCTCGACAGCAGCAACTCAACCACCTAGAGAGGCTTCTTCAGGGACCAGAACCAGAACTCCTGCCCAGGAACAGTCAGCAACACCGCAGGATAAATCAAGGACAGGAAGCGGTCTTAAGAAGCACGGAAGCAACTCCAGCATCGGCACCACAGCAAGCAATACCTCCTCATCGGGTGTAGGTCCTTCGTCGGGCACAGGTGCTCAGAGCACTGTCTCATCTCCTGGGTCCAGTCTGGGGTCAAGCAGTCCGAAGAATGCCCTGAAGGCAGTTGCTCAAAAGACCATCGGGAGAGCATTTGGAGGTGGGAAGGCTAAACCGCCAACCAAATTACAGCCGAGAGAACTGGGTAAGCTTCCCATCAAAGAGGGATCTGATCTGGGAGTGCGTGGTGAGCCTGTTGGAGCTTCGGATAACCAAAAAGGTGAGGCACCAAGGAACAACGACGTTGCTTCAAAACCAGCGCCTAAATCCAAACTATCACCACCTGGGAGTAAAACCTCCAGTAGCAAACAGATGCCAACATCAACCTCAAAGACAAAACTGCCAGTGGCCAACCAAACTCCATCTCAGGGCTCGTCGCAGAGTTTGCCTTCCAACCGCAACATTGCGAAGTCCAACTCGTCAGCTGCCAGCCAGAAAACAGGTTTGAAGACACCCACTTCATATCAGACTTTCCCTAAAAACTCCAATGTGAATGGTACAAAGCAAGAGGAAAGGGATGGGGGTGTGCCGTTCACAAGAGCTGGTGCCTACAGTACTTTCCCTGGCCCTGGAAACTCAAAGCAAAAGAACGTAGACGTGTCATCCAAACATGACAAGAGCCCTCACGACGAGAAGCAGAAAAAACAAGCCAGTTGTAAACCAAAGAGTTCATCTCGGTCACCAGATTCAAATCGCCCCCTGCCTGCGTCACCAAGCCACAGTGCATCTCAACGGTCCCCTGCTAACACAGCGACAGTTGCGCCATTTAATTACATCGGTTGCCGGCCAATGTCCAAGGAGTGTAGTGATATGAGCATTGCGAGCACCAGCGTCAGCGAGTCCTCAATTGGCAGCACTCCTATTCAGAGCCAGACCAGCGTATCTTCCGGAAACAGCATTTCCTCTGAAAACAGCGTAATCTACAAACCCAGGGAAGATGCCAACGACTACTGCACATCAGTCTACAAGAACGACAAAGTTGTGACGACATTTGGGACTCCACCATCCCAACCCCGATCGTTGAAGGGATACGGTGACGTCAGACCCAACACAATGGACCTGACTGTCATGAACGTCCAACACAACCAGCCAAGCTCCAGAACCACCAAGGAGACAACATTCGGAGACAGCGTAACAACTCAGCTACGTAACCACCGCTCTCCGACTGGCTCTTCCAAGGGCGCCATGAACTCATCCCCACAAGGTTCCCCACGGTCCCAACGCTCGGCCATCGCAACCTACGGTGCCTCAGCTGCTCGATTAAACAACCTCAGTTCCCTCCCACTCCAAATACCCTCCATGCCCGTCCAAAGTGAGGCTCCGTACTCAGCCTACTCCTACCGCAGCGGAGGGGTCCCCCAACGGTTTGTCCCTGCCCCTTCTTTAACCCGTCTCTATGGTAACTCGATGCGTCGCACAACTTCCAACCGTTCACATCTGAGCGACTTACAGTTCACCGAGCAGCCCATCCTAGATGACGGCGATGATTTATACGATGAAGACGTCGGCAGCGGATATGTCAGCGATGGTGACATTCTACACCGTAACGCCCAGCTTAGCGACATTGCTAGTGGTTACATGAGCGAGGGAGGTGGTTACCTGTACGCCAAGAGACTGGGTACCGGTGGAAGCAGGCTGCGTGATGGCATGGCAGCAGTCAGAGAGTTTCTGCAGAAAACTGTCGACCTCAGTGATGAAGACAGGTAAGACTCATACAAGTTTTTTAACTAATTGAAGTTGTGGCAAATGCATTTCCTTTTTCAGTGAGCAAGCCACAAAACTTGTCAGCACTCATGAATTAAAGTCATACAAAACTCCTGCCTTCTTTAATGCTCATTTTGGGTAATTCAGGCAAAAAAAAAGAAGGAGTTAAAAAGACTATTCGGATGATGATTGACTTCCAATGTTTTATTTGCAACAAGTGAAACACAAACAACAACTTCATTGCTTTTATCTGGACTCAATGCGATGTTACTAAAACTTTGGAAAATGTTGGTGTTCTGTATTATTGTCACAAGAGGGCGCTGTACAGTCTTCATGGCCCCCTCATTCACAGAAAATTCATCAGACAGAAACTGTTCATGTGTGACCACAAGGTGGCGCTCTTCAGTCTTCCCACTAGAGAAGCACAAACATTGACGGCAGGGTTTCCGAACACAAAATGAGAAAAAGAAATAAACGGCATTTAAATGTTTTTTTCATAAACATGAGATCATTGCCATCATGAGCATTTGTATATTTTTAAGGAAAGAAACACATGATACCATTTTCAATCATAAGATTGACTCCCAAACAATTTTGATGATTTCATGATGAAAACAAAATTGTGACCCAGTTACTTTTGGGAAGAAGTGGTAAAATTTAAAAAAGTAAGGATCTTTAACAGTCCTGTTATAGATTTGAATACTTGAAGTTCTTTAAAAGTCTAAAGAGAGTGAAACAAGTGGGACACCCCTCTCATAAAAATGAAGGAAAAAAAAAAGGGAAAAATTTGTCATGTTGCCTGAAGTTTTGACAGCAAATGTGGTCTTGGAACAGGTGTGAAAATGACCAGCGGGGTTTCCTGCCAAATTGGACAGCAATCAGGAGATTAGATTGCCGTGGGTTAAGGGAAAAATGTGCCCCTGTCAGTGATAGGGTTGGACCATAATAATATTCTTGATATGGAAGGGTTCTCTGAATGTATTAACACAGCTTAGGTTTTGTTTTATTAAAAGATTGGGTTGCATATTTGTGTATTCATGATAGAAGCTGAACTTGGATCTGATGTGGACGTGTGTTTGGCATCTGCAGTTCTGCAATTCACAGAGGGAAAATATATTTTTGGTAGTTAATTCTTGGACCTTTCTTTAACTGCACCTGCTTGCTTCATGTCATATTGTGCTGAACTTAATTACATGAGATATAATTGGAATGTTGATGCCCAGTGAACTGAATGAGGTTGGAGATATGTTCTGTCCGGCGCCAAATCTGCCACTTTTGCAATTTTGTTGTCTCAGCACTTCATACAGCGTCCTCATCTGAAGCATCATTAATGCTTCTTAGAAAAAAATGTGATCATGGAGTTGTTGTTTGGACTACCAACATTATTTGTTCAGCGGTCCGTGAATCTCGAGTCTGCAAGTAAATGAAATTTGTCTGAGCCGCGACGCCCTGGCACGGTGTCAGTGGTTGGCCAGCGCCCACCCTGCTGTGTCTCGCAGATTAATAGATTCTAAAAGAAGCTTTGCTCTTCAATTCCCAAACCGATGGATTAGAAACGGTGGGAAGAATTTGAATCCCATTTAAAATTTGCCTGTGTATGCAAGTTCTCTTTGTCAACAGTTTTAGTTGAAATGACGACTTGAACTACTCTTACTCTGTCCATTTGATGCTGCAGTTTTCCCTCCCTACAAACCCATAAATCTTATACAGCCTTTTTTTCCCGCAGTCTTAAGAATTGAATTTTCAGTCAGCCAAAAGTTAGTGTAATTGAAATCATTTAGTTTGTGTCCCTGAACTTTTTCCCAAGAAACCGTGCCTTGTTTTCTCAAATGAAATCCAATCTTGTTTGCTCAACTAGCTCCCGAGCTCAAAGACAAACCCTGCCTCTGTGTTTCCCACACCAAAGGCGATACTGTCTTTTTGTTTCCTAATTTGCTGGAAGTCTGTAAGGTTAGAAGTAGGGGTCGGAATTAATACTGGCTTTATGAATATCAGCTTTATTATTGGTTGGGACAGGGAAAAACAGTTGAAAGTGCATCTGAACTTGGAAGGTGGTCTTGGGCTCTTGCCTCTGTTGGATTCTTGGATGATTATCCTTCCTTCCAAGAATGTGAGCTTGTGTGTGGTCTAGTCACACATATTTTATATTAGGTAAAAGTACATTGTAGCCTTTCGTTTGCACCGCTTTCTCTGAAAATTTCTTTAAAGCCACTCTACCCAAGCGCTCAGGAAAAGTTTCAATTTAATGTATTTCACTCATTCGTAATTTCAAACTTAATCATGGGGTGATTCTTTCCCTTTGGCATATCTTTAGAAAACACAAATCTTAAAAGGTTATTCTATAAAATTGTTAATTCAGTTTGAAAAACGCCTTTTCAAGGTGTCTTACCCTGAATTTTATGGATAGTATAGTTCTGTAGGCATCAGCCATTATGCCAGTTACTATCAGTCAGAAAGAGCCCTTCTTTTTTAATGAAAGTGTTAAACTTAAACATGTGTATACCCCTGTTCCCCTTGATACCTTTTCCTCTGTTTATTTCTCTGATATTTATGTATTTAGTTTTTGTTACACCCCCCCCCCAAACAATCGCCAATCCCAAAACTCGTCATCACTCATTGAAATGCACATAAAAAGAAACGGTAAAGGTAATGTGTACTTTATACCCGGCCCCACACTAACAGTCTTTGAGCGATCCTATTATATCATGTAAATGCCAGGCACATTGATCCTGCCAGGGTTTTCCCTAGCCGACAAAGCATTGAACTCTTAAACTTCAGCCGAACCGCTTCCCTGCTCACAAACTGTTGTCGTTGTTGGAAGCGATGCCTCGTAGAGTGGGAAGCTGAAGTGAGAAATTTGACAGTTGGCAGGAAGTTGAACCTCTGGAAGGGAAGACAGTGGGGTAAGCTTGGTTTCAAAAGCTTGTACTTGGGTGTTGAAGAGGGGGTGGGTGTATGCGTTCGCTGCTTAAGGGCAGGGGTGACTGTTTCTGGTGTCGACTTTGCTTCGGAGAATAAATAAGCTTGTTCTTGGACTCCTTAAGTGTGGAAATACGCGGGTCACTGTACTGGCGAGTGCCTGGTGTGTTTCGTCCCTTCATTATCTTTCTGTTGGAAATGATACTCTGTGAGCAGGCAACTTGACTATCTGTAGTTCTTTCGCTAACATTCAGCCGCCGGTAACATTTCTGGTTTGAATGGGAAGACGGCGCACGGAGCTAGAGATTTAACTTAAAGATGGATGAAGAACTCCTTTCAGATTGAAGTAACTTTGACCAAAAAAATTCAAAATTTTTAGATTGGAAAATTAAGAAACTAACTCAGAGAGAGCAAGTTGATTACAATAATAGGAAACAAAAACAACCGCTCGTTTGATATTTTCCATCCTAATTATGAACGTCACCCCACATTGCCTTCCTTAAGGGGTAAAATTACCCCCCTGTAACTACTCCTGTGCTGCATTTGACCTCTAGATAAAGGTTCCTGGTCTCTCGCCCTCTGGCAAGAAAGTCAGCGGCACAATGACAGGAGATAAAAGCCTCCGTTTTGTAAATTCAGGAGGGGGGGGGGGGGAGGAAAAAAATTGGTAATCCTCTTAGAATTGGGAAGTGCAAAGGAAACATGAGACGGGACAGATGAAGTAAGGGCCAACCATCCTAAGATGTGAATGCCCCCAGTATTTTTTTTCCCCGCCGTCAGTACCCATAATTGCTGGTGTGTCGGATTCCAAGCTGCACTTTTTCGTCTTTATGGTGGTATAGATTAAAGGGGCATTTCGAGAGTGCAGGACGGACTTTATTAAATTGGACGGATCAATTATTTGAGAGTTTAAAGGAGTGCATCAGTGCATGGGACTTGAATTAATGCAGAGATGGTGGGGTTGGAATTGACTTTAACATATTCAGGGAAGTCAGATTCTCATGGTCCAAAAGCTGCATAGGGGAGTGTTTGTCAATGCCAAAGCCTAAACATTATGTTGATGGAATTGTGGAATGCTTATGGGGATTCTGGAAGAACAACATGATTATCAAAAATACACACAGTGCTCACAGAAAATGTTTACAAATTTTTGAGTACTGGTCCTGATGTTGAAAGCATGCTTTTAAGAAAAGCCATTAAATTTAAAGTTGAAAATGAATTAACTTTGTTAGGCATTGTGTGCTAGTACATACAGCTGTAGATTTATTGAATTGTCGTGATATTTTGTTTATTCTTTTTTGTAATGAATTTGTAAATCTGGATCAGTTTCTGTTGCCATCTTGGACTGTAATTTATTATTCCCTTGGTCTGTTGTTCCTCAATTTCCACTTGTAAAACACCACAGCCTGAATAATCTACATGCCCTCCCCTGGCATTCTCTCGAACAACACCCCGAAAATCAGAAAAAACATCGGAACAATTTGACAGAGAATGCAGGCGAATTCCCACAGACGTGTTGGTATCAGTCCGTCATGTTGATAAATCCCTGACTGGGAGTAATTGGATAAAAACTACAGAGACAAGAATCCTCCAGCGTGGACTATCTGGAGACATGTGGGTGACAGTGACTGTAAGGAACAGCTTATAGCGGGGAGCCGGTGAAGAGGGTGAATTTCACAGCCAAACGCTTGTCTTGCCCTTAGGAGAACGGTGACTGGGAACAGCTTATAGCGGGGAGCCGGTGAGGGTGAATTTCACAGCCAAACGCTTGCCTAACCCTTACGAGAAACTCACCATGTACATATTGATTAGTTTTTTTGGCTTCGGCAACACTGTTCCTAAACCCTCGAAGTGGAAAATTTGATCAGTTGCATTCTTCTATTTCTTATATTTTTTTTGGAATACCTAAACAAAAAAAAGGATTATAGAATAGTGCAAGAAGAAAGTTCCTAGAATAATGACTAAGCGTGTGAATTTGCTACAATGGACACAATTTGATAATAAGGTACTGGCAACTTGCATTTACCATTTTTATATAGATTAAAAAAAGATATAGGGATTTGAGAACAATTTCAAATAT